AGGATTTCGTTAGACGTAATCATATAATAAATCTTTTGAAAAGGGGGCAGTCACTTAAGAAATTCCGCAGCTGGTATGGATTCCAAAGATTTAATATTGTGTCCGTAAGAGCCCTCCATCGGTAATATCCATAATCAGTTGAATCCAGCTCACATTGTCTTAAACCTTCTACTTCTAGGTTTTCCAAGTGGCGTCTTCTTTTCAGGTTTTTTATTACAAACGTCCAAATTTGTTTCTAATCTTTCTGTGCGTGCTAATTATCCTTTGTTTTGTCACAAATATTTGGTATGTTCCTTCTTTATATTTAACTTATACAAGAAAGTATTTTAGTATTCTCGTCTCAGACTCACCCAATCTGTTGCCGCCTTGAGGTAAGAAATTTTGACGTCATATTTTCAAAATGTATCAGTAGCTTTAGTCGCGAAGTTACTGAAATTTTTTGGCTTTAGTAAGGATGTTTAGAAAGAAGGTCCCCAAAAAATTAAATGAAAATTGTCTACACTTGATCCCCTATTGAAATTCTCGTCCTAGTCATAAACAAACGTTATGGAAAGACCAGCGCAGACGATGCAGGCGGCATGTTCCTCCCGAAAACGTCGTATAAAAATTCACATGGTCCATAAACTCATAAAATTACATTTCAACGCCGGAAATATACACCGTGTTATTCCGAAACGTCGGTAACAACCAGAAATCATAACGGTTTAACAATTCACAATACCACATAAGCTCTTAATATAGAGACAGCAGTTTTTCAAAAATTTTCGTATACAATCATATTACACGGCGTAATAACCCAGGATATTTTACTTCAACCATGAAAATTGAGGCAGCATGTTACTCTAAAACTTTGGTTTCAAACCGGAAACCGGCAGACCACATATTATTGACCTCTTTTCGGCATTAAAAATTACGTTGTCGGTGACGAAATGTTGTACAGAATAAGATAAGTGTACTATTAAACATCCTGTCTGCTTTCCTTAAACCCATTCATAAGCCTGGGTACCTTGAAACTAATAGTTTAATACCCCTGGAGATCTTCCCAACGACTTATAGATCGAGCCAAACAGTGGTCTGTCAACTTAGAAGTTCCCACAAAGCTCCTCTGTGCATTCATCTCATACAGAAGATAAATCCCTTGTGTTCGTCTTGTCAACTTGATCTGATTTCACCCATCTCCTTACTTGCGTAATTATCTTTGAGGATTTAACGCCTAAGATTGTGCATGGGAATCTTATTATATAAATCAAGACGTCAGAGGCTTTAAAATAATACAGCCCCACGAAACAATTTAATCCTAACAGTGGCAATGTAAAAATTGCGAATAATTTATCCCGCCATAATTATTTAAATTCTAATATATAATAGTGTAGTGTAATCGTAATATATTAACTAATAAACCCAGCTGAATTGTTGTGAGCCCTTAGTGAGAGATCAGCTAGTTAAGAAATTACCCACCTTCCATCGAACCCAAATGTTCATTACCATGCTTACAAAAGCCAGATTAATCTAATCAGGTCCTTAAGACATACGCTGTGTCTCCTATCATGAAGACAAGTTAGTTACGTGGTATATAACGATAATGGACGTATTTGTTTATGAATCGTGTTTTTATTTATTCTTTAAATGGTTTACAGTATTTTTCAGGGGGTCTGTTAAGTTAAAAATGAAAATTAATTTTTGTTTATGTAAGACAGAGCATGGGTAATCATCACTCTAGAATATTAGACACTGTGTACACGTGAATCTTATTTGTTATCCGCGGTTTGATTTTAACATCATGAGAAGTATCAGTATTCTATCCGTGGCAACGACAAAAGCTGTCGCGTAGGTCCAATAATTTCTACCAAAAATGCCTTGTTCACACATGATATTTGAGTATAAATTTATGATCAGAATTGTATATTGCATTTTTATTAATACTTAATTGAATGCCAGTTATCTTTGGTGTAATAGATTTTAATGAACACAGATAAGTAACATTTAGCAAGAGATAAGTAAGTTTTTATCACGTTCCAATACAAGTTTTAGGTAGAAAAGTGCTTGATAAGATTTGAATCTTACGCGGCGTCCTAATGAAAATGTCCTCTCATGCGATCAAACGTTTACGTATGTAATTAAAATCCAACGTTTTTTTTTAAACTGTCTCTGTCTTCATCGTCAGGGTACAAGTCCCAGAAGACTTTGTTGAGGAAATGAAGTGTTTAGTTTCAAATTACGACGTTACATCACTGTGCTTGAAAGTCACGTGTCAGATAATGCAAATACGTGTTGATCTGTTTGTATAATGACAAAGCTAATAAACGTATGAATTATTAATTGAAACCGGCTTAATGCTAAGTCGACATATAACTCCACGAATGAGAGGCCTTGAGCTAGTAAAAGTCAGGTATTAGCAACAGTTGATTTGTGTTAATACGTTAAATAATACGCAATTTTGTATTTATTCATTAACTTTTACATGTCTTAACTCTTACGACAGGTTTTCTAAATTAATTCTTAACTGTCGTTTAAACCAGACAGGTCACGTTTAATCCGCTCCAGAATATCTGGATTATTCTGTACATCAAGAGAATAGAAAACAAAAATTAGTATCATGATAGCTATGCACAGGCTATATAACTGAAGAGATACATTTATTGTGAGGATTTGGGTTCTCAGTGATTCATAAATTACACAACAGTACGTCAGAACGAGTATAAACAATTGTCTCCTACGTTTAAAAAATATCATAAGATCTAAGAGAATATGTGAGTATAATATTAAAATGGATATTTTAAAATTAATATTATGGTGGTAGATTTTGATTTAACTGTCTCAAGATAGGGACCAGTGACGAGATCTTGTGGTCACGATAACGAAGTTTCGTGTTACATAAAAGGCGAAAATGTATCGATTATTGTATCGGCAATTAGAAGTCGAATTCTAACATAATCGACAGAAAATGATCGATACCTTATCGATATAAAGCTATGGAAAATACGCTTAGCATACAGACACCTCAATCCCTCGCTACTATACGTTCAAGGTGTAGAGAATCTTAGTTGTTGTTTATGTAATCGATATGAAGGTCATATCGCGTCCTCGATAATCTGTCACATGACTCGAATGCCTACAAGTGTAAAGTAGAGACTTACAATTTCTAAGAAGCGTCGGTGTTGCAGGGTTCTGTAATATCCGATTTCGATCGCCGCTGTATGAAATTTCAAGGTCACAAAAGATAGTGGCCGACGGAAGATAAAATAGCCACTAAAATCAGCAAAATTCTATTAACACTTTGTCTCGGATGTCTGTCCGTAGCTTGGGGGAGCGCCTAACGAATTTAAACAAAATTTGATATTGGTAAGTTTCACTAAAACATGTCATTACATCGCAATTTTGGTTAAAATCAGACAAAGATGATGAGTTGTTTGTATGAGAGGTTGTGGTGAATAAAGACCCAGAGAAATCCAATGTAATTTACAGAATTTAGCTCTCAAATTATGACGAAAGATTACTCCGACAGATGCCACCATAGGCACCGTCAAAGCATCGTTTGCATTTTTGGCTTCCGGAGTCGAGACTGTCAGAACGTAAATTTTATTTTCCTGATGGACATTCGATTTTATATGAATAGACAGATTACGTTCAGGAATATGCATTGTCACATACCTTGGGTGGGGAAAAGGAAATGTAAAGTGTTTGGATTGGCTACAATTCTGAAGACCTTGAGATTAATTCAAGGGAATTCAAAGTATTTTGTGAGGGCGTGGCCATGATTAAATTCCTTCTCGATTTGACTTAAAGGCGTTATTTTTTTTACTGAGGTTTATACATCGTCCCAATTGTAAAAAAAAATTATGATCGCGACCTTGGAACGTCTGGTTAAACAGGTCTTGTGACGTAATAACTGTAGATGGCGGACCGTAATAAAAAACTTTTGTTCACTTGGTAATTATCAGCCAATCTGCGACCTGAACTAAGGGAGGGTAATTCGTTTGTCAGAATTCAGTGTAAGTTACTTCTTGCTAGAAGCATTATATAATACCTCATTAAAGATGTGTTTAAAAGAAATGAATGACATTTCTGTCCTTGCGTTCTTGATTAAAAATTAAAAATTATTACACATTCGATTACGTGAAACTAAGTCTAGATAATGTTAAGTGTTGTGAGATTTAAAATTCTCACAGCGTCGGTTATAAAGATGGTTTGTTTTCCGGGATATCGCATCGTGTAGTCTGTTAGAAGTTCACCGACGTTTCAGAGGTCACTGCTAGCCTCCATCATCATTGAAATTTAATATGTGAACATTTCAGCTAAATCCCGAATAAGAAATAAAGTGAAAATCAGTTTATGACTCGCTGGACTATGCGGATAGATATATAAGTGAGAAGTTAAACGTTTCATTTCGGTATATTTTAGCTACGAAAGCTATGATTTAAAAACTAGTTATTGAAGTATTAGTCGGCTGGGGTTGTATCTTGTAATGTCACAAAACGTGTTTGAGGTAGGAAGCACTTCTGAAACGTCGGTAAACTTCTACCAGGCTATACGACGCAACAACTCAAAATAAAGTCGTCTTTAATGTATATTTTATTTTGTAATATTTTATTTGTGGGTTTAGTAAATCTCTTAGAATGTGGAACAGAGTTAGAATAATATTCACAGAGAATTTTTATTCTGTTATTGTGTTTTCAAAAGTCATATCGTAAATTAAACTTGGTAACCAAAAATTGTAGCGTCATTTTACGTTCCCAGTTGACTGGAGCGTTCGAGCGGATTGGGGGAGAATGTTGCTGTGTGTGTGTCGTCTGCTAGCCCAGAGTCAGTCTTCGCTCGTAGCTCGTACGTGTAGCAAGGTCGCAGTTAGAGCGATGTTAACCTCGACTAGCAACCGATATCATCGCGTCATAAAGTGCTCATGCGCAAAACGCTGGCCCATCGTCGAATATATAATTAGTCTAAAAAAAACAACTGAAACGTTACAGGTTTGGTGATACTAATTAATGATTTTTGTTTTCGAACTTTAATTATTTATCTGTGAATTACGTATCTCTATTGAAATTCGAATGAAACAATTGTTAGATCAGTTTGAATATTTCGCGTACTGGAATAATGTCAGTTTGACAATAAGTGAAGTGGTAAATTCACAATCGTAAAGGATTTTAACCTCAAAAACAGAAGAGAATTTATCTCATGAATATGTTTCAATTTTGATTGAGTTTAATTTTAAACTGTTTTTTGGTAGTTATAAATTTATCAGTGACAATTTGGTTACATCGGTTTAATGGTTCTGTAACCACAATTATATTTCGCTTTCAGAAATTATGACGCGATATAATAGACGCTGTGATGCGAATCGGAAATGTGACATTGCAAATTTTAGACAGATGTGAAGTCGATTGTTTAATATCGATTGTTTAATGTCGATTGTATTCTTTTATGTGTTCAGTCGAAAACTTTATCGTGATAAATGAATAATCTGGACAGTTTTAAATCCAACATGTTTACGGTCTGGAGAATCGATGTTGTTCTAAATTAATGAAGTGAATGGACGTTGACAATTCACTTCATTGTCTTAATTTACTTCGACAAATATACCTGGTTATAGATAGCGATTTTGTGAAATATCGTGTGTGTTTATTCTGTGTGTGTGTATATGTAGTCAATACTAGAGAAGCAATTTGACATGTTTAAACGCGGGAAGAGGCTTTAGAATATTACGAACATTGACAAATTATCAACGAAAATTTGTTTTGAAGATGGTCAGGTTCTGTTTGAAATTTCAAATAGTGCCGTTTATGAACTTTTTCGTACAATATGCTTCATAGTTTTTTTAAGACAGGAAAACATTAATTTTTATTTTGCTTAGTGATGTGTTGGTATAATGATGCTTTTAGGTTCAGAAGTTTACGTAGGACTTGAGTGTATTTAAATGAATCTTTAAAGAAACGAAATATTATCCACACATATAATCAGAAAATACTTTAGTGACTTTTTAAAATAATTTTCGTGGTACTTTATTTAAAGTAATATCAAATATAATAAAAAAATACGTCCGTGGTCTACCTCAGAACAATTTCGTTCAGTATCAATACCTTTTACGTACAGTTGTGTCACCGATTTGTGGTTTAAAATTACGTAAAATTATTATATGTTCTCTTTTCCCAACGTTATGTTACCTTGAAATGGAAGTGATGAATGATAATAGTATTGAACTGATGGACAGTGACTTCAACGTAAGTTACGATAATTCCAGTGTGTTTTGGGGTGGATTTATCGCTGCTACGTCTTACCCCCTGTTTACAATTACGGGTGGTAGTGTTGGTGGTATAACAAATATAAGTAATGTAAGTGTTGGAGGTTCGAATAGAGTAAGTGTTTTTGAAAGTGACCTAATTATACCCCTGTACGTCGTAATATTTGTGTTGTCCATCGTTGGAAATTCGCTTGTACTGGTCACCCTTGCCCAAAACAAGAGGATGAGGACAGTTACAAATGTCTACTTACTTAATCTGGTGAGTTTTCATTTTTGATAAGTCTGTGTGTGTGTGTGAGTGTATGTGTGTTATTTTCTCTGTTGAGGGCTGATACAAAATACTCTCGTATTTAATTCTGTTACACCATGTTAGTATTAATAATTCAATTAAATTAATTTATTTAAGTTCTTGACAACAGCCAAATAAGGCCAATAATAGCCAAGCACTAAACCAGAATACAGGATAAAATATAATAAATAATTAAATTCAATCAATAATAATAAAAGTAAAACATTACAAAAACAAACGAATGAAACTAAATATATAAATGTACCATAATAATAATTCAATTCATTTATTGAATAATATTTCACAAGTAAATGGGCTAAATACGATACCTAAGTAATATAATTCAATTCAATAATTCTAAATAAAAACATTAAACAATAAAAAACAGAATGATGATAATAATTCAATTCATTTATTGAATAATATTTCACAAGTAAATGGGTTAAATACGATACCTAAGTAATATAATTCAATTCAATAATTCTAAATAAAAACATTAAACAATAAAAATATAGAAAAAAATTACAAAATTAAATAACACAAAATAAGATATAGTCATCATAATAATACTGTACTCAGTTACATTTTAATAAATGCAGGAAAACTGGGGTAAAGCTATAAAATAAGCATCGGTCTGAAGACATCCCGAAAGCAGTTGAAACAAGTCGTGATAACCAGATAACTATTTTGTGGAATCAACAAGTCAAAACAGATATAATCATTCCAAATAACAAACTAGATATTATAATCCGAAACAAAAATTGGACTTGTCTCTTAATTAATATAGCAATACCAACTGACAGAAATGTAATTAAGAATTAAGCGGAGAAGATCTTGAAATACAAGGACCTTCTCATTGAAATACAGCGAATGTGGAAGGTGAAAGTTAAAGTAATTCCTTGTATTTATAGGAGCAACTGGAACTGTCTCAAAGTCACTCAGAAAATATTTGGCCAACATCCAGTTCGAACACGACACTAGGGGACTTCAAAAAACGGTCATTCTAGGAACATCAAACATCATTCGAAAGAAACTCATGTTAAATATATAATACCTCACGCGAAATATGTTTAATGCATGTAACACGTATGATAAAACAAAATGTATTTCAGAAATAGCTGCTGTACCTCAGGGGCAAGGTTTGTCTCAGGTACGTAGAAGTAAATACCCTGTAAAATGGTAAATGGAATAATAATAATGATAATAAACATAAAATAGTCTATATATTTGCAGGTAAAAAGCCAGAATATACACATTTATGTTTTTTCAATAGTTTTTTTAATGACGAACGACTAAATGTTAGTTGTGGTCTTACTAGGCTGTGGAATGATATAATCTAGATGATTACCAATACTTAGGATGAATATGTGCCTCCATCTTAAGGTTTTTTATCCCGAAAATTTGGTATTCATCTACAAGACCACAAGGCGTCTAAACCCAGAGACCAAAATCAACAGCTCATATCCAATAGCACTTTAAAATGTCACACGTATTTATTTTTAGATTTTCTTCGACTTAATATTTTAAAATAAATTTACATTGATACATTTATACTAAATATATGTCTGTTATATTGGATATTACCCAATGCCTTAAGTGTATTTTAGATTTTAGACGTTTCGGGAGTTGATTCCAAACTTTGCGACGTTTAGAGATAAAACTAGGAAACGTTGAATCCTATAAAATGTACGTTAAATATTGAAATTAGGCAACATAATTATTATATGATTAATCAACTAATGTCACATCCGCTACATGATGCTAGTCGGTGCTTATTTAAGCATAAGAACTACAGATCATTTAAAAGTCGATTCTGATGGGATCTGACGATTGTATAGTAAAATATGGGTTGTCTTGTCCGTCTTCAGATGTTTTAAAACAAGGCATTTACAACTTCGTAAGAAGCTTCTGTAATTTCTCCTACAAATTTACTTCGAGATAGGAAATCGATAGGGAATTGCTTACCCGCACAGAAGCACCCACTTGGGGGGGGGGATGTCGGGTAATTTCTTGTAAACGCAACGGAAATATTAGCATTTCCTTTGAATTGTACAGTGCAGTTTTACGTAGCAAAATTTTGTAGCCATTTATTACGGAATAACTGTGAATGGAATAACGACTGGCGAATTCGCTACAAAAAAATCACGAAATTTAATATTTTCCTCAGTCTATCTTATTAATGGAAAATATTTTGGTATATAATTAAATTCAACGACGCTTTATATGTTAAAAGTGGTGAATAGTAACGAATGAAAATACTAAACTCAACGATGAATTGTGAGAGATTTAGAAGGAAACGTGTTTTACTATATTATTCCAGGATTAGTCTGGAGATGTTGAGGGAAATGGAGGGAGTTTTTCCAGTTAGGAAAGCTGGTGTCAGGGCCGAGATTCGAACTGCATGAAAGCCAGGAGTGTTATATGACTGTCTTGTTTAAAATCCCTACGTGCTAAACATTTGTGATATTTCCATCTCGGTAGAAGCTATAATGAACGCTACAGTTGAATTAACATCGTTAAATAAAGTGGATAATGAACTGTTGAATATCTGCACTTCCTGGTACTCTGCGTGATTATCGCCGTGACATTGAATAGCGTTGATAATTGATACTGCGTTGTTAGGAATTCAGTGAATTGAATTTAATATCGAGCTGGTACGTGGGACATATTTTTTCTTTCAAAATATATTCTGAAGATAATCAAAAGGCTTCGATGTTATCTGGTGACAGTCTATGAAAAATGCGGACATACAGAGCATTATCGAGTTTGGATAATCGAATTTGGCCTCAAAAGTTCGATACAAACCGTTCGAATATTATTTAAGAATAAAATCGAGAATTGATTTTTTCTAGATCGTGCAGATAAGAAATGAATTCTGCATCCCAGTGACATTATTAAAATAAGTACTTGTGTGAACATGGCTGTCTTGTGGGATTTTGTAGAAATTTACAGACGTTTCAGAGGTGCTTAATGTCTTTATCATCGCCCTGATAACGAAGGACGTAATGACATCTGAAACGTCGTTTAATATCTACAAGACTATACAGCGTAACATCCCAGAACACAGTCATTTAAATTTGTTTATGTTAGTTTTCATAATCGTAAAAAATAGTTAACTTAGTGAGTTTAATCTGAAATAAAACAGCGATAATTAAAATTAAGTATGGAATTTAAAAGACGGTGGTCTTCTGTCGTTGCCCCGTGTTTTGTCTGCGTTTAAACGTTTCGGAGGTATATACTGCTGCCATCTTCAGGGTTGAAAATTTTCGTTGTCAGAGTTTTTTCGTAGTTTGTTTCGGGTTGTGTACGAAGTAAAATAAAATTGAGTGTAATTATTTTATAAATATACACAGTCCGTTACTCCTTTTATCTCCGGCATGTACTAGCGGATCCATATTAATAATGTTATATTCTGTCCGAACCGAAAGTGTGTTTATCTAACCTGGGAGGGTAAAGCAATATTAAATTTAATTACACTTACGTGAACTTTATGATACGCGGTAAACATATTTACCACGAAAGGGTTTCATGCGGTTTTGAACAACAGATGTTCATACGCATAGTTTACGTATGTGTTAATTTAATATAAACATCTGTGTTAAGTGTCGTGTTCCACTAAACCAGAGAACCAGTAACTTCACAGCGGTTGAATAAAACCTCCGTCCTTAAAGCTGGCTGACTCTTGTATTTATTATTAATTTATTTACGCATAATATTATGATAAACAATATGATGGTCTAATAATAACAAATATGACCCCAATAAGGGAAATGTAATACGAATTTTAAATAAAAGTACTTAGTTTTCAGTCGGCAGATGAATTCTCACTAACTCACTGTTTAGACTTTATTCTACTGGATTTTATTTGTAAACTAGATATTCACTGAGTTTCCTAGAATATATAGAGCTTCTGATTCGTATTTTGGCCAATCCTGATTGAATTCCAATGTGATTTTCCTCAGTCCCTCCAGGCAAATTCTGGGTTAGTACCTTAAACCAGGCCACGAGAGCTTAGTTCCACTTCAAACATAATTAATCATCTTATAATTTGACGTTTTTTAAACTGATTTACTAAAAGCTACGTTAATTAAACCACAAGGACTTTATAATCTATTCCAAACTTTTTAAATTGTCCTGAACGTTATGAGTGTCCACAGATTTGTTAGCAGAATGCCAGATAAAATGTGATATACTTGTTGTTTAAATAACTATCTGATTGAAAAGTTATCGATTGATTGGTCGATTTATTATCGTAATAACACACGTTGATTGATTTAGCTACTTACTGTTTGGAGATCTATCAAAAGATAAATTGAGAACTGACTGATTTATTTACTGACTCGATGACGTAACAGGTACCTGAACGAATTGTCAGATTACCTGTTGATTGATTTACATATCCACTCACTGGCTTATTAACATTGTAGCCTTAGCTTACTGAATGCCTGGGGACTGAACAGTAATTTGAGACACTGAAACAGACTAGCTGATATCCATTAACATATCTAACATTCTACGTTAGCTATTAACAGTGAGAAGCCTTGGTGGCTAAGTTACTTTCATGAATGAAATATGGGCTGAAAGACTTGACTTAAATGCTCTTCAGAGTAGAATTTTCTTCTTCAGGATTGAATCTTCATGTTGAGGTTAAGAATGCATGGAGAAAAACCTCCACTCTGCCATTTATCTTCGTGGTGTGGTGTTTAATTATGATCTAGGGATAACTTTAAATTGATAATGTTCTTTGAAATTCATAAGAGAATTGTTATAAAATGATTAATCGATTACTACTGTAATACTGACATTTTTTATACAGATGACAAGAGTTGATTGAATTGAATTTTTTAAATCTGATGTTGAATTGATTTATCTGGGGACGCCATATTGTGGTATACTTCTCTATATCTTATCATGATGCATAAATGAGTTAAGATTTTTTTAAAAAAGTTTATATGAGTACTTACAAAAAA